GAAATTGAGTGAGATGTACATCGGTTTAGACTTTGAGTTTATTTTCCTTCTGGGTGTTCCTGTCACTCCCCGGGCCTGCCAGCTTGGCAGCTTGTGGTGTTAAACCACACTGAACTTCGTTGTGGCAGCTGCCAAACATGTGGACAGCAGCCCAACTCCAAGGTTGGGCAGGACACCCCCAGAATTATATATGGTCGCCCCATCCTCCCCTTGGGCTCAGCATCCTTTCACACCACGTTGCAGGACAGCTCCAGGGTCTGGCTGTCAGGTGCACCTGTGCGCCCATGCCTCCAGCAGAGCTTCACTTGTGAGGGCCAGCAAAGCCACCACGGGGCCAACACGATCATGGAGAACAGGGCCGGTCACCTGCATTCCGCATCACCGCAAAACTCAGGAGCAATCTGTTATAACAGAAACGGCTTCCGTTAAGACGGGCTCCCAGCCTATTTATAGTCGGGGGGTGGCTTGTGCGGGTTCTGACTGCTGCCTGATGTTTAACCAATCAGAGAACTGAAAGGGGTCTCCTTATTTACATACATGGCAATATCCAATCACACGGCAGATACAGAGGACGCCATTTGAGCTCTGTGCCTATAAATACCGCTCTCACGAGTGGGTGCTGCTCTCTTCCAATTTGCTTTGCCACCGAGCTCTAGCCATGCCGGGGCTTGCTCCGAGGAGCGCCGCCACTTCTAAAAAGGGCTGTAAGAAAGCTGCTTCTAGAAGTCAGAAGAAGGAGGGCGGTGGGGAAAGCGCAAGAGATGCCACCAAGAGTGCTGGTTACAACTACGAGGTGCCGAAGCAGGGTCACTCAGATGCAGGTGTCTCTTCTGAGGCAGGGGGCTCCGTGAATACGTTCGTCAAGGACATCTTCGAGCGCATCCCGGGCGAGGCCTGGCGCCTGGCGCACTGCAACAAGCGCCCGACCATCACGTCCCGGGAGATCCAGACGGCCATGCGCCTGCTGCTGCCTCCTGAGCTGGCCAAGCACTCGGGGCCCGAGGACACCAAGGTCACCACCAAGTACACCAGCGCCAAGCGAGCTTGACCAGCTGCCAGATGAACGCCACAATCCAAAGGCTCTTTTCAGAGCCACCTACAATTTCTAATGGGCTGCACGCTGATCACTTACCGGGTTTGGGGGCCTGTGTGGCATGCAGGAAGTATGCTTGCTGAGTCGGACAAGCTCACGTTTACATCTAATGTACTGTGACTAGTCTTAGTGGTTCACCTAGCAGTACGCTCTGAGGGAGCTTTGCGCCACGGTTTCATTGAAACTCCAAGGAAAACGATGTAGAGAAGGCCTCCAAATATAACCCCAGTTCCACCTTGGGTGTTGCTACAGGTGGGCCCCATGGGCCAACAGCTCCTTTTTCTGGGTTGTCCCGCTGTGTCAATCTTCTGAGCCGGGAGAGCCTGGAGCTGTGGACTTTCCGCAAGTTGGGCATGCGAGCGTCGAGGCTGGTTTTCTTCCTCCTTGGGTTGGGCTGCTGGCTCTTGAGGCCCAAAGCCCGGGCGTCTCTTGGTCTGATGATGTCCTCTGAGAGCTTCGCTGAAGTCTGGACTCGGCTCTGTGTGAAAAGAGGTTGACGTAGGAATGTGAACATCTTGTCATTTCAAGTAATTTGTATCTGAACTCAACAATTCGGTCAACCACGGTCAACTGGTAAACAGGAGAAACTGTATCAACTGAATAATGCCCTAGATTTGGCATTATTTAGAATTTATGGGGGGGGGTCACTGTTTAAGGTTTACAAGAACTTAAAATGCCCAATATTCAGGTCAGGACTTGGCTGCAAGATCTACTCTGTCATCATGATCTAGATCTTCCTCCCAGAGCAGATGAGCATTAAGGGGGAAAAAGATAACACACACTGACATGGACTCCCTTAAAAAGGAAGGATCAAAATATTAGTACTTCCAGAAAACTGGAGTGTAGCTGGAATCTTCAATTTGATTAAATGTTTTATTGCCTCTTGAAATTCAGACTGTGTTTTTCCACCATTTTTGAAAACCTTAGTTGATGTTAAATGTACAATATATTCATAGAAAAAAATGCCCTGAGAAACAGCTCCAGCAGGAGTACTGGAGTAACCATCAAGGAGGGGACGATGGAGTATCTGAATTCACATTGTATAAAAGAGGAGCATCATCTATAATCAAGTGCCCAGGTGCCACAATAAAACCCTGACAAACAATACATCTGCATACCTGTCACATCCATGTCACATCAAGAATTGAAATGTAATTTTTTTATTCTGTTTCTTTCAATCAGCAACATGGATTTATAATTCACTTATATGATGAGTAATTGCTTATTTTTATTGATTAAATATACTATGTTTTGTTTTTCAATTCACAACCCCCCAGCCCCTCACTCCCATTGCTGGGGATGGAAACCAGGGCCTCAGGCTTGCCAGACAAGCACTCTACAGACTTACAACCCTAGCCCTCCATTTAGTTATTGAAGAGATCTTTTAGCTACTATAAGTTATATTTATTTATATGCAGAATTTTGAGAATGTGTTTACAAGTTAGCTAGGTAAACACTAAAGACGTGATTTCTGGGTCATATGGTCAATGTATAGCTGTGTGAGAAACTGCCAAACTGTCTTCCAAAGTTGCTGCACCCTTCTACATTCCCCCTAGCAAGGAATGTGGGTCCTTCTTGCATCATATCTTTGTTGCAATTTTTAAACGTGTTACAGATTTTTGTCATTCTGTTAGGTGTACAAATGTATCTCATTGTTTTTATTTCCTTAATTTAAAAAAATGATGTTGAGCTTCGTTTTACATTCTTATTTGTTAAGATGTCCTTCTGAATCCTTTGCACTTAACTGTGTGGTTACTTTATTATTGTTGAGTATTTATATATTGGATACATGTCCTTTGTTAGATATATGATTTTCAATTTTTTTTAGTTGCTGATGGACTTTTATTTTATTCATTCATTCATTTATATGTGGTGCTGAGAATTGAACCTAGTGCCTCATACATGCAAGGCAAGTGCTCTACCACTGAGCCACATTCTGTGTCCAGTCCTCAGTTTCTTAACACTTTAAACTGAGTGTATATTTTTAATTTCAAAAGGTCCAATAGAAATATAAAGCAAACCAGAAATACTGGCCATATATATAACTTTAAACTTTCCAGTAGCCAAAAAGAAACAAAAAAGAAACAGATGTAATTAATTTTAATCAAATAGTTTTTTATATTCCAAAAGTTATAATTTCAACATGTAATCAAGATAAAAATTATAATTTACATTTTTAAAATTAAGTCTTTGAAATCTATTATTTTATAGTTAAGGCACATCTCAACTGAGATTAGCACATTCCAAGTGCACAATAAACACAAATTTGTAGCTTAAAACAATTGAAATATATTCTTTCACTGTTATAAAAGCCAAAAGTTAAAAAAAAAAATGTCAACAGAGTTTGTTTCAGCTGGAGACTGTCCAGGAAGACCCTTTGCCATGCTTCCTTCCTCACTCTGGT